CCCTAGGTGACAGGAGAAGTGTCCCGTCAGGGTTTCTAGGTGGAGATCTTCACAGAAGCAGGCTGCATGTCTTTCCTCCTGAAGTTGCTGCTGGATCAGAATCCCCTCCCAGCACTTACCCATGGGGCCAGTCACGTCCACTCAGAGCCACAGAATGAGCCCTTCTTTCTAATGGGGTCTGTGTGGCTGTGATTACGTAGGGTTTTGAGATGAATTGGTCCCGGTCTTGGGGCGATTCTCTGGATTCTGTGTGGGAAAAGGGACAGGGACACTCTCTCAAGGATGCCGGGCCACCACCAGCGTATCAGAGAGCCGTTTGAAGAAAACGGAAAACGGCATTGGTGAAAAGAAGGCCGGGGAAGTTTCCCCGAGCAGTTGTTTTCCGTCACGACGGTGCGCCCGCTACTTGGCAGGGTGGCGAGGGCTGCGCGCCAAGAACTTTGTGACCCTTTCAGACTTCTTTTTGTACCCAAACGTGAACGTGTCAAAGGAAGGTGACTTGAGCCCTTCGAGGATGCCAGCACTGCTGTTCTGATGGGGTGTCAATGGCAGAGCGCCGGGTTCTTCAGGGAGGCTTGAAGAGACGGAAACACTGCCTTCAGGAGTGTGTAGACCTGGATGGAGGAGATGTCGAAAATCCATAGCTACACATTTTGATGTTTTGTTTCCTAAAGCTTTCTGTGACTGTAGCCGGATGTCTGCCAGCCATGAACGCTGGGCTGTGGACTGGTGGCCTGAGTTGACATGAGTAGGTGGCACACGCAGGCCAGCTGCTGGCCTCTGGGCACTGTGCCAGTGGGCCCCCACACTGCCAGGCTGCTCCAGTTGCCCCTCAGGGAGAAGTGCTCCCACCTCAGGGCACAGAGTGAATCTTTTGAAGAAACCATTCTCCAGAGCTTGTTGGTTTCAACTGTCATTTGTGAGTTCCCCTCCCCTTGGGCTGAGGAGACCACCCACCTGGGGAAGTCAGGGTGCGGGGGGTGCTCTTTGAGAGCTGTGTGTGCTGAGGGAGTGTGGCTGGTGTGGGTACTGGGGAAAGGTTGGCTGGGGGGTAGGCATGTGGGACCTCTGCCTCATTGGGACCCTCAGCCCCGAGCTGATGTTAAGGATGATTCTCCTCCCTTCCCATGCCCCTCACCACCTGCTGTCAGCTACTCCAGCCTTGAGGGGAGGGCGGTGTGCCAGGGTCTCCTGCCCAGGTGACGTGGGCAGCCACACAGAGGTTGGGTTGTTTGAGCCGTTGCGTGTGGAGGTCACAGCGCATCTGGTGGGTATGGGCTGAGCAATGGCGGGATAGGGCCTGTGGGTGGGAGCCTTCTGAGCAGAGGAGGGACCACTCAGCTGCAGAGAGAGTGGGATATGGACGACAAGGAGAGGCGCAGGTGGGCGAGGACAGCGGCTGGATGGTTAGCACAGGAGACAG